GACAATTTAGAGTTATCAATTAACCTAACAGTCATGTTTTTGGTCTGTGGGAAGAAGCCGGAGTGCCTGGAGAAAACCCACACATGCACGGAGAGAACATGCAAACTCTACCCAGAAAGGGTCGCTGAGAGGCATCAGCTCTACCAACGGAGCCACCATGCCGCTTACATGTTTTGATCTGAACCTAATTTTGTGTGCATCATAAGGGAGACCTGCTCAACACATTTGCGTAGTAGTTTGACAAAATCACTGCAGCCCCATGTCTGTCGATCCATCTGTTAACTTTATGACATTATTTAAATGTTGAAGGCCTGTGATGATTCAAACAAAACTGCTAACAGTTGCTCATTCCTGAAAGGTAATGGGGGACATCAGCAACATTTAACGTTGAGTTCCATCTTGTTATGATTTTTCTCATTTTAACTTGTAGCCGCTCTTGGTAATTATAGCCCTGGGCCGGTTTTTAGCTGATTTTAAAATTTAGCTTTGGTTTTGCTAAATTTAGCTTTTAGCAAAATGATTTTTTAGAATTTTTAAATTGATCTTCATTTTTTTTGTCATTTTAATGTTTAGATACAGTTGGCCTTTAAGCACAGTGGATCAGTGGTTAGCTCTAATGGCTCATAGCAAGAAGGTTCAATCAGTGGTTTGGACCTGGTGTCTTTCTGTATGGAGTTAGCATGTTATCCTCATGTTTGTGTGGGTTTTGTCCAGGTACTCCAGTTTCCTCCCATAGATTAAAAACATGATGTTAGGCTGTCTTCAGGCTGCTCTTGAAAAAGGCATCTTTGATCTGAGTGGAATTTGCCTTGTTAAATAAAAGCCAAATCTGCTCGTTTTGGTTATTGGTTCAACTGCTTCAACACAATTCAGAAATCATTCAGCACTCAACTTCAGATATTAACCAACATTAACTGGTATTAAGTTTATAAGAATAAATGTTAAAAAGGAGATATGACAGGATGTTGTTACTTGCTCACACAATATTCTTATTTTTAATACCCTGACTGTCTACATGTCGTTTCTACTTCCTGCTGTAGAAAATATCTGTCTAAATAAGTCAAAGGAAACCACAGTGATAAAGTTGTGGCCGGTAGAGATGACTAACCTATAAGCAATGTCAGAAAACAGATGAAAAAATGGCATGTGAAACTGAAGAGAGACTAGACACAAATGAATTAGATCAGGGGTGTCAAATTCATTTCCACTGAGGGCCACAAGAGCATCATGGTGGTCCTCAAAGGACCAGTTGTAATGAACAATGTTTCATGTTTAACTTTGACTAAACGTGAAACATCACATTCCTTGACTCATTAATACAGATGAGCACTGCTGCTAACAAACAATAACTGAGCTCTACATGGTATTTCCTGCAAAAAAAACAACTTTTTAACACATCCATATATAAACACTGAAAATTACTATGTGTCTGACTGACTATATATGAACTAAATAATACAAAAGTGCCATTAAAAGTAAAAGTTAGAGAGTTTTACTCACTGTTCCCATGTATAATCAACATGCGTTACAGGAGATTTGGCTTAAGGTTGATGCTGGTTTTAAAGTTATTACTGTTCATAACTTTTATGGACAGAATTTCTAGGCACAGCCTCGGTGTTGAGGGGATCTGTTTTGGTGACCGTAGGATCGTATTGCTGCTTTTTGCAGATGACGTGGTCCTATTGGCTCCATCAGATCAGTTTGCAGCCGAGTGTGAAGCGGCCGGGATGAGGGTCAGTGCCTCCAAATCTGAAACCATGGTCTTGAGTCGGAAAAAGGTAGAGTGCCTTCTCCGGGTCGGGGAGGAGGTCCTGTCCCAAGTGGAGGAGTTTAAGTATCTCGGGGTCTTGTTCATGAATGAGGGAAGAACGGAGCGGGAGATCAACAGACGGATTGGTGCTGCGTCTGCAGTGATGTGGGTGTTGTACCGGTCTGTCGTGGTGAAGAGAGAGCTGAGCCAGAAGGTGAAGCTCTCAGTTTACCGGTCGGTCTACATTCCTACCCTCATCTATGGTCACGAGCTTTGGGTAGTGACCGAAAGAAGAAGATGCAGATACAAGCGGCTGAAATGAATTTTTTCCACAGGGTGTCTGGGCTCTCCCTTAGGGATAGGGTGAGAAGCTCAGTCATCCAGGAGGGACTCAAAGTAGAGCCGCTGCTCCTCCACGTCGAGAGGAGCCAGTTGAGGTGGATCATCTGGTTAAGATGCCTCCTGGACTCCTCCCTGGGGAGGTGTTCTGGGCACGTCCCACTGGGAGGAGGCCCAGAGGAAGACCCAGGACACGCTGGAGGGACTATGTTTCTCTGCTGGCCTGGGAACACCTTGGGATTCCCCCAGAGGAGCTGGTTCAAGTGGCTGGAGAGAGGGAAGTCTGGGTCTCTCTGCTTAAGACTGCTGCTCCCGCGACTGCTACATTCACACCAAATGCGTTTTGAGCATCAGGAGCATCTGGTTTACATGCAAAGTCAATGGCGGACGCACATCTAGGGGCGTCTAGAAGCCGAGCAGTGCGTCTGGTGCGTTTGGAGCAGGGCGGTTCGAAGCGGTGCACACGTCACGAGCATTTTCCGTGGGTGCGGCACATCCGAAGTATCTGACGTGTGAGTTGGAAAATCTGAACTTTTGCTGCTTGACGCGTTGCATCAACCAATCAGAGAGACTCTGTTCAGTGACGTACTGGTGATGAGGCGGAAATACTGGAAGCCCGGGAAATCGGATCACACAAACAATGGAGGAAAACTGAAAGTCCGATTATTTATGATCATTCCAGTGTCCGTTTTCATGATAGAAATAAAAAGGACTTTACCTGGAGGACGATTAGTGAGGAAGTTGGCATGTTTGGTAAGTTATTGAAACTACAGTTAAAAAGGCTCCTCCTCTTGCACGTCTAAAGAAGCGTGTCTACGTTCACATCAAATGCGTCTGTCCTCACTGGACACCAGCATCAAGATGCGTGCGTTTTGAGATTTTTGGAGGCGCACAACGCTTTTGGTGTGAATGTAGACCACACTGTAATAAATGAAATGTTGGATTTACTTAACTGTGTTATGTTACCTGGTTCCACCAGTTTTTTATCCAAAGAACATGAGTAAAGTTGGTTTGAATTTACTCAACTCAGTTAAGTGGAACATGTCAAATAATCTGTTCTAAATTTAAAGTTGTAACCATGACAAGCTTATTTGGGCAGGTTCTTCAGATTATGAAAAGGTGGAAAGAGAAGCTCCAAATTAAGGCAATAAGGAATGGGAGAAGAACTGGCTGTTAGTGTGCTGTTGGTAAGTGAGCTGACAGTGGATTTAAGTATTATATCAGTTTTGGCATAAATTATTGTTTTATATAATTGTCTTATAACAGGGTTAAAAACAACCCCAACACCTCAAAGGTTATAATTTTCACCACAGTATTTTAAAATCCAACAAATTTTTCCAGTTTCCTTTTTGTCTAGATACAGGTTCCTGACGAAGTCAAAAAGCTTTGACGAGATAAGAAAAAAATATGTGGTCCTTTTGTACATTCAAAAACAAATTGGTGTCAGTGACAATCCCAACATCAAATCAGAAAAACCACAGCTAAATATTAAAAATCATCAAAATCATTGCTGAACATTTTGGTATTTGAATGATTAAACACAAAAAAGAAGTAGTTTATAAAAACAAAAACTTTAAAGGACACTATAAGCTAACAATAAAAATACAGTGTGAATGCTGACTCAGCAATAAAAGTGAAGTTTAACCCACTCAGACACAGAAACAGACACTTTCCAGATGAATGTGAAAAATGTGCTCGTAACCTGAGTCCCCTGTTTCCCCCTACCCATCTATACAAAAGCTGTGCTGTGCAGAACAGGGGCCTCTTGCTGTACCCTGTTGCTTGCTGCAGCACAATAGGGGGTTAGCGCTTCAACTGCAATGAATAGAAGCCCAGCTGGTGCCCTGCGGTTGGGCACAGGTCCTGAGCTGCAAGGCTTTAAAGAGTGGGGGGGTGGTTTCACCACCGGGACAGGGACAGAGCCAAACTGTCAGCAGCTCAGCAGCCTTGGCACTGCTGAATCAGAGCGCCTCGAACGTTACACACAGCCACAGTTTGTGCTTCAGCAGCTATGATGCCCTGAGAGGCCGGACACTTACATTACAGCTGAACTGCTTGTTTGTGGAGGAACCACAGGGCTCTGGAGACTCTGTCAGACCAGATCTGCAGCTTTGCTTGTTTTGAATCTCAAACTCCTTCAGCTGCAAAAGAAATACAGTTGTTAGTGAAAGAAGGAGACTTTACAAACTGGTTTACTTTTAAAATCTGTCTGACTGATGGAGACTTTTAAACCCTGCATGTTTACATCAAACAGAAACAGAAGGCCCATGTATGGGATAAATGTTGTGCCAGCAGGAACTGAATTTGATTTGCTCAGATTGAATCTGTATGTGTATAATTTGAAATGAATGCATTGGTTTGAAAATAAATTTCATTAAATTGAAACTGAATTTAAAGTTTTGTATTTGAATTAATTTGCTTTGAAACTGTATTTTGGTTTATTAAAATTTCAGTTTGACTACTTTCACTTTCAGTTCCATAATTCAGATTTTTGTGTCACATCCTGGTCCTTGAGAAAGCCAGGCAGAGTAATCAAACACAGATCCACAGATTTATGTTTCACTTTGGTGAAGTTTCCCTTTTGTATGTAACAGAGTTGAGGCAATCCACTGTAAAAGTGACAAAAACAGATATTTTATTGCAGTGATTAATTTGACCTACTGTATATGTAGAAAATGTTATATTTATGTACATCACATCATGGATCAGTCAGCAGCAGGATCTGATCAATATGTGATCCATGATGTAAATGTAAAATTTTCTACATATGGTCAAATTAATCACCGAAATAAAATGACTTTGTCTGTTTTTGTCACTTTTACAGTGGATTYCATCAACTCTGTTACATACAGAAGGGAAACTTCACCAAAGTGAAACATAAATCTGTGGATCTGTGTTTGATTACTCTGCCTGGCTTTCTCAAGGACCAGGATGTGACACAAAAATCTGAATTATGGAACTGAAAGTGAAAGTAGTCAAATTGAATTTTTAATAAACCAAAATACAGTTTCAAAGAAAATTAAATCAGATACAAAACTTTAAATTCAGTTTCAAATAATTAAATTCAGTTTCATTTTAGTAAAATTCATTTTAAACCAATGCATTCAACTTCAAATTATGCACATTCAGATTCAATCTGAGCAATTCAAGTTCAGTTCCTGCTGGCACAAGTTTTATCCCATACCTACCCCTCCTTACTGTATGTGTTGTCGCTCTCAGCTATAATCAAAGCTCATTTTAGCTCCACATCTATCAAACTGTCTGAGTTACAGACATTATGTGATTCCTAAGGTCTGTAGGGGCAACCTTAAAGCAGGCTGACTCCAAAATCAGCTGTAGATCAGCATCAAACAATTGGGTTCTGCAGGTTTCATTAAAAATGTTCAAGTGGTTTAGTACCGTATTTTGTCAAACAGACACAAACACAAGCAAATCACCATCATCTGCCTTTGTCTTTCCTCAGAATGCCATTCAGAAGATTCTCAAAATAACCCTATTTATCTTTTTCAAAGTAAAAGTCAAGTCATTTCTTAAACAAAGCATCGTACCCGAGCAAGAGCTTCCTCTATAGAGATCATGTTCTCTTTCACCATCATCATCAGCTGAATACGCTCTTCATCACCCATAGTTATTTCACTGGCCATGAAGCCAACATCATCACCTGCAAGGAAGTGAACAGTCAAAACAACATCAAAAACAAGAGTTTCAATGTTGATTTATTCATGTATAACCCCAAGTCTGAAACATTAAGTCATCGTGTTAAATGTATATAAAAATAAAATGTAATGATTTGCAAATCTCATAATCTATATTTTATTTTACAGTGGAACATAGTGAACATTTTTTTGTCAAAATAAAATCATCTTTAATTTCATGGCAGCAACACAAGTTTCTGTTCCAGGAGCAACAAAGCTTGTAGCAGTCAGTGGTACGAATAAAAAAAACAGCTGTATGCTTTTTGTAACTAGTTTAGAGGTTAGTCAGAGGCAGGGGCGGTTCTAGGGGCGGGGCCACAGGGGCATTGGCCCCAGCTGAAATCTGATTGGACCCTGAAGTGCCCATGTCCTGTCACTCATCTGTCTTTTACCTGGGAGTGATGATGGTGGATGCAGTTCCATGTTCAAACACTAGAGGCGCTAATGAGTCAAACAGTAAAGTCCAGAATGAATCAAGCTGAGAGAATTCTTATGGATGGATTTTCTCATGTTTTGTGTTTGAGAATATTTTATCTATGTTCAGAAAATGTATGAAAAAAGGTGAGGAGATTTTACTGTTCAAGCCATTTTTGGTACCACTTTACAATAAGGCTTCCCTTATAGATGACTTATACAGAGTTTAAAGACATGTTATTAATTAATCTGTAAAGTTCACACTTTATAAACCATTAATAAATGTTTATTATGCAATAATTAAAACGAGAAAGAGACAAAACTGTTCAGTTTCTTACCAAATAATGAGACAAATCTGTTCACGTACATAATACATCTAAAGGTGGTATATTAAACATTTCAGACTGGGTTACTACATTGTAAGCAAAGTAACGATAAGAAACACATATTTTAACATATTAATATTGTACTGTATTACTGCATTATAAATATTCACAACTGTTAAAGGGAGATTTATCGTAAAATGTAAGACAGTACACTATTTATTATTAATAAATAAACATTTATAAACACCTAAACTTAGTATTTAATGAGAAAAATCACCATTTTTAAAACTTAGTGTTGATTATCAACATTTGAAATTATTGTTCAAACATTTTACTACTGTCAACAATGTTGATTTATCAAAAAAGTAAAAAAAAAAATCATGGTAACGTACCAAATAATCCCACCCCATCCAAAAATAGTATACAGTTTTACACTTTACAATAAGGATCCCGTTCATATTTGTGCATATTTATAATACAGTAATACAGTACAATATTATATGTTAAAGTATGTGTTCCTAATAATTATTGTGCTTACATAGTAGTAAACTAGTCTGAAATGTTTAATACACAAACAGATTTGGCTCAGTATTTGGAAAGAAACTGTACAGTTTAGTTTTTTTAACCTGAATTAATGCATAATAAACACTTTTTAATAATTTATAAAGTGCTTACAGTTGAATTAATAACATATCTATGAACCCTTTAAAAGCCATCTATAAGGGGAGCCTTATTGTAAAGTGGTACCCTTTTAAAATATATATATACATTACATAACAAGTGTTTGAACATGTATGACTGGTTAAACGTATACATCTTATCAAAACAGTGGATTTGTGTGAAAGGATGCTGAACAAAGACTTGGCCCCTCTATGAATATTGTGGCCACATGATGGCCCCTTGCACAGAAAAATCCTAGATCTGCCACTGGTCAGAGGACTTATTAAGAGAGACCTTTAGAGACACTGAATCTGTCAGAAGCAAAGATGGGCTGAGGTTCACCAGTCTGAGAAAAACTGTCTAAAATAGTGAAACAATTTCAGAAAAAGTTCTGAAACAGAACATTTGGAAGCAAACACAACATTACTCTGGACTCTTGTTTGTCCTTTTGTTTATTGTTTATAAATCTGAGTTCACCTGAAACTCCTCAGACTGAAGAAGTCACTTGGAGGAGAGACGAAAAGCTTCTTTAAAGAAGAACTTGTCCAGAGGTAACTTTTATTTTCCCCATCAACAGATTATTATAATCTGTAAAAATCTTTGAGCTCAAATGCTGAAAGAGTTTTAGATGGTTGAGATCTTCAGGCCCTCAGGGGCCACTACATTAAAGCATCACCGTGGAGGAAATGTTGTGATTGATTAACTGAATTTAAGATCCAGTCTTGTCTTTTACACTTTGTGCTGTCATATGGTTTAAACAGAGGATCAGAGTCAGTGTGTTCCATTCTATCTGCAATATAAACACAGTTGGTACGTTCTACTGTCTGACGTAAAAAGTAGTGCCTACAGGGGTGTAACCAGGAAGTCAGATGTGTACGTTAAGAGGTTGATTCATCATGATTCATTAGTGCAGTCTCTCCTTTAGATCAGCCTGAGACCGCCTGGGCTCTTGAGAGGGATTGTTATTGTTTTTATTCTGATAAGACCCAAGGCCTTTTTTTTCTCTGAGGCCTGACTGGAGTCAGATGAGAATAAAGCCTTCTAGAAGAGAATCAACTGGTTTTCTGCTTTTTTATTCAGACCTCCAATTTATTGATCATGATTTTTCTTGCAGTCTTATATTTTACACTTTGTGATCAGCTGCAGTCATTTGCTTTAAACAGCAACTCAGCAAGTTTTTATCAATGCCTCCCACTCTGTAGAATAACTTGACTTTCCAATGTCTGACGTAAAAGGTACTGCCACCAGGGTGTGACCATGATGCTGCCATTAAATTCAGAATTTAGTTTTTTTCCCCAACAACAKAGGACGAAGCTGAAGTTAGCTTCCGATGCCAGCTTCCGATTCGGGGAAATGACTAAAGGGATATTACAACTAATTTTTCACTACCTTGCGTGTGTTTAACCTGCTCGAGCTCAAAAACTACAACACCTACACTCTTCAAATCTGGATTAGATTATTCTACACTAATAGAAGAATATTTAAAAACATGTTTGGGATTTGGGAAAGCTTTGTCTGATTTGTGAAACTTCAACAAAGTTTGTTTTTCATCATTTTTATGCAACTGGACCACATTAGATCTGGTCCAGCTCAAAACCCACAATACCTAGACTCTTCAAACCAGGACTATATT